ATATATATATATATATATATATATACGAGGCAATAAAGATAAAAGTGATAAGAGTAACGTGTCGTAAATTGCTTTATTCAACAAAGAGATTACGCAAGTATAATCATAATATCAATTATGAGTTATGATAACCATTTGATCATCTCTTTCTATAAGTAATACATTCATAAATACTCAAAATAATGACGCGAGATAATCTATTTATAATTATGTAAGCTAGATACGTTTATCGTAAAATAAATAAGTAGGTATTGTAAATATAACGTCAGTTTTGCGCCAAATCACTATTGACAGTTATCTTCTCTTATTGATAAAATATATGGTCACGAGAGTATTACGTAAAAGTTGTAATTATCGGAAGAAAACCATACGTGCACGTCGTGTTTGTTGCATGAGAGGCAGTTGCCTGTTCGATCTTCGTGCTCTGATTAAATTCGCGTTACGCAAGATCAATCTATGCTCATCGGCATTGCAATCTTCTAGCGACACACAATGGAAGATTGTTTTTTTCCTATACCTATACAAATTTTCAGTTTAACTTATCGAGCTTGTGTTATTGATAATTCCAATATGATTTTATTGAGACATATTCAAGCAGAACAAGAAGTCATCATAAAATATCATTAAAATGCCTTCAAAATGATAATTAAATCACTTTTAGATCACTCATAATTCACTTTAACGTCATTTTGATATTAAAATGACATTAACTTCGTTACGGTTTATTTTGATGTTATCGTGACGTGTTGTTCTGTTTAGATACGTAAAGAATTAAAAATAGCTCTTATATGATTGATTGGGGAACATATATATTGTACATAAAGATGCGTTGGAGCTAATAAAGTGAGATATAAAGTATAAGAAAATTCATATAAATTAAGTATTAAAAACGTGAAACAATTGAGAGAGCAAAATAAATAATAATATCGATCTAACTTTTCAGCCAGTTTGGCTGTCGTAAGTGCGCCAGTTGGTGCCTTAATAGGGGGCTTCCTAATGGAAACGTTTGGTCGAGTGAGAACTCTGCAGATCGGTGCGATTCCCTCTTTAATCGGTTGGATCCTTATTGGCACATCAAAGAATATACCGATGTTACTATTCGGTCGTCTGTTAACCGGATTAGCGACCGCCTTAATGACTTCGCCAGCAATCGTCTACATCACTGAGGTAGCCAGGCCGGAACTCCGTGGATCCTTGATTTCATTCGGACCTACCCTGGCATCATTCGGCATGGTGCTGTGTTATTTGAAGGGTGCTTACGTAAAATGGGAAACAGTTGCTTACCTCAGCACCGCCTACTCGCTCATACCCATTTTCATGGTGCAATTCCTGGTGCCGGAGTCTCCCGTCTGGCTTGTCTCGAAGGGCCGAAGAGACGATGCCAAGAAGTCTTTGGACTGGTATAATTTAATCTAATTATTAAATGAGAGAGAGAGAGAGAGAGAGACAACTTCTTGTTTTTAATGCATACGTAAATAATTGGTATATTCTAACTTTCATAGGCTTTACAAGAATGAGACGTCGGAAAGCAAGACATCGGTAGCTCTGGCACAATTTAACAATATTGTGAAGGAACACGAAATTAAATTGAGCGAGCAACGGCGGAGCAAACACGGTAGTACGGCTAGTAAATGGCGAGGATTTCTTAAACCGACTGGATGGAAACCTATGGCGATACTTTTTTTGTTCTTCTCATTTCAACAGTTTTCCGGAATTTATATCACACTATTCTACGCGGTGACTTGGTTCCAAGTAATTAATATTTATATGTGTATATCTAATAGAGTTATGCATCTTGTTCTCTAGTATTTTATTAATAATATAAATTATATTCAGTTTTGATAAATTATAATATTAAATTAACGGTATAAAACAAGCGAAAATAAATTTGACAATATTTATTAAATTCTATACATTAAAAATTAAAAATAATAACGAGAAATGTTTTGACTTATACGAAGTCCTTTTCAATCTCAAATAATAACATGAACATTAACATTTATTTTGGCTTGTTTTATACCGTTAATTTAATATCGTAATTTGTCGTTTTTTAAAACATAACAAGCTTTTAACTTTATTGTTATTTGTATTTATATGATTATGTTGGTTTGAAACAACTTATGATAATGTCAAAATAACGTTAAAATGAATTATAATTAAATAAAAAAGTGACTTTTAGTAATTATTTTAATGACATGATGATTAATGCTGCAAAAAATTTTAACATTCTAGCAACTAGTGTTTTACATAATTATTTAAATTATTTTCATAATTCTCTCAATAAAATTACTTTTGAATCTGTATCTAGTTTGATACTTGAAACTAATGTTTGATACTTGAATAAAATTATCTTTTCCATGTGATAGTGGATACGGTAGATTAGAACTTCCTACAATTTTCAGGAAGTGGGTGCGGGTGTAGACGCATATTTAGCGTCAATTTTGGTGGGCCTGACGCGTTTCCTGTGCTCCATGGTGAACACTTGGTTATTGAGACGATACAAGAGACGATCATTGTGTATTATATCATCCTTCGGAATGGCTCTGTGCATGATCGTCTCCGGTTATTTCACGCTGAACATTAAGAATGGCGATCGCAGCGGATTCTGGGTAAGTTCTAGGATCGTTTCTCATATGAGTTAAATTCAATTTTTAAAGCACGTGAGAGAATGTCATAGCAACGACATCTCTCTCTCTCTCTCTCTCTCTCTCTCTCTCTCTCTCTCTCTCGAATGCAACATAAAGAATTAAATGTCGTAATGCTCGCAGGTACCAGTGGCTTGCCTGCTACTTTATGTGTGCACATCGATGGTCGGAATGTTGACCATTCCATGGACTATGACAGCGGAATTGTTCCCGACCGAAATCCGTGGGATCGCACATTCTATCAGTTATTCTATAGCGAATCTACTCATGTTCGCTGCGTTGCAGAGCTATAGAAGCTTGCAAGAATTTCTAGGAGGTACGAATTTGAACTATGTATTTTTATCTCAAACTTATATTTATCATATTGTGATATTTTCTTTACAACGATGTCTCTTTGACATTCCAATTACTTTAGTATACTTTTCTATTTTTCTTATTATTTTTTCTTATTAGTTTTTTGTTATTATTCCACTAAAAAATAAGGCTAAAGAATCATGTATTTCAAAATAAATACATATATAGACTAACTTGGCTAAGAAAATTCTTCTATTTCAAGGTGCGTATGCCGTGCAGTATTTCTTTGCCGGCGTTTCCGTGGGGGCGGCTATTTTCGTGTGGCTATTGCTGCCGGAGACGCATGGGAAGAAGCTGTCAGAGATTGAGGAGTACTTTCACAATAACTTTCTGGCCTTGGGAGCGGAGGCGAAGGACAAAAAGCGGCGAGCCGCAAGAAGGGCGCAGCAGAAGGCGACCGAGCCGCTTAATCCGAAAACCGTGCAAAACGTTTAAGCTCTCTTATTTTTCTTTTCGTTTTTTATAACGCGAATTTTGTATGAACGCAGAGTTCAAGATGTCTCGGAGAAAATGATCAAAGTATTATATAAAACAAAACAAAAATCACGCAACTATAGCTATTAATTCTTATACGACAAATTTTCTATGTGCGCTGACCTGCGCACCCGAGACATATTCAGCTGCGCAAAATACCATTTTGATACAAATGATATAATTAGTTTATTCGTTCGACGTGAATCGTATCTGGCGAGACAACTGAATATTTGGAATATTTGGAAGAGTGGCACAATTTTACGGATAGGACGATAAATGAAGCGCAAAGCTATAAATCTTAGCGAATATAATTGCGAATATAATTTCGCGTCTTGTTGCTTTCATTTATTCTCATTTATAATTACCCAATTTAAAGTTTGATCAAAACATTTACGTGTGACACGCGTATCGTACGTATATATATGCATATATACTATATATATATATGTACGATTAAAGCGAAGCCAACGAAAAATGTTTCTTCAATATTTCCCTCCTCGTCGGACTAGAGCTGATAAAACACGTCGAGATATATTATTAGTGTAACGTCATTATGTATAATGAGAGAGAAAAAGAGGAAGATAATACATTGCGCGGAAAAAATACGAGATTTGCGTTTATAGATGCAAAGAATCGTATACGCTCCGCGTTGAGAGCGTCCAAGCATAGTGCCTCCAATTTTCTTTTCCTACGAGAATTTTGCATAAGATTATCGTTACAGTATTATAATGCCGATCTGATGTCGAATAGATCACAGAATTGATCGCGATAAAGAATTCTCCGCTTTCTAAACTGCCACTCGATTTTGCCGCAGTTTCACTTCAATGGCGCAACGATGTGTGCGACCTCGAAAGAATTAAATAATTTACGATCTACGAACATTAATATAGACTATTTAAAATCGCGAAAATTTAGTATATTAAGTAATTACATAATAATGGATACGTACAAATATCGAAGAGATGAGATTGTGCCGCTGAAATTTTAATCTGCGAAAGATACAAAATGTACAGCGATTTGTGTGTAGTGACTTTTCTGATCGAGCATTTCTTCTCTCTAAATTTCTTGGAATGGAATCTCACTCTAAAGAGTCGATTTCGGACTAAAGAGTTCATCTCATTCTAAAGAGTGAGATTTAACTTTTTAGAGCGAGATTCCACTCCAATGAATTGAAATAGTTTAATATATTTCACGAATTCGCTGCGATCAAGTGAGTTTATTGAGCGGATAATTTGTTTGCGCTCGGCGCTGTTTACTTAGGACAGATACTTAGATCATTCGAGGAATATTTAGTTTAACGCCATTAAGGATCATTTAGACGGAGCGAGACGTTGTTCGAAAAAGTAGCGCTCGCAACAGAAAGAACAGTTTTGCTAAATCATATAAAAATTAGGTCAGATACAGATTTGAAGATGATTAGTTGGACCATCAAATAATATTGTCAAAAATTTTGACATTTAACTTGATCGTCTAAGATAATTATTTAAATGGTTCAACATAATTATGTTCAGATATGTATCTATCCAGACAACAGTCTAAAATCGGGACACAAGATATCTTACAGATGAATTCTCGCAATTCTCGCAAATGTTTTGAGGCGTCTTTCAGAAATCTTGTGTCCCGATTTCGGATGTTGTTTGGTAACTAAATTTTTTTTCATATGGTCACAAAACGTTGCAGAATTTACAACATTCATATTTCATTCATTGTAATATCGTGCAGACATTTCAACGAAAAACAGCGACAATCGTATTTGTCACTTACGTGTTGACAATCAAATTTGTAAATAAAAATAACTCCACTGTAAAATTTAATTGTAATCAAATAGTAATTAAATAAATTGTTGCGTGGATCAGATGGTTTTACATAAAATCGTTCCGTCTAAATAGACTTAAAGAAGGAAATCGTCATATAAATTCGTGACGAATGGCACTTGTTGACAGATTGGAAGGATCCAATCGGCGAATCGGATTTTATATTTTTATACGTTGAAATACACGATATACGCCATATACGAATGTGATAAGTTACAATAAGAGACAAACCTCCCATAATTTTCGATTAGCGTTGACGACGTGCCGTTCATCGCGTTTTTGTAAAATAAGTTTCATCTCCGACTGATGGCCAGTTTCATCGTGATGATGGGTGATATTCATTAGAGAGAGAGAGAGAGAGAGAGAGAGTCTATAAATCTTATATTTAATATATAATCAGCCATTTTAAAACGATTGTCTCGAAACGATCACTTTATTGGTTGAACAGAATCGAAAGATTCAACTTAGGGTTTAACCTATAAGACGTAAGATCTTAGATCACAATCTTAGATCTATTCTTATAGTTTCCGATTTTTTCTGCGTAGAACCATGAATAGCATCCTATGTTTGGACATCAATCGATCGTTCCGATAAGAACGGACGAAGGATCGATGGAGCCAAGCTCGATGCAATCGGTCATCGATATATCTATTTTATTACATGTGATATCGTTTTTCCACTTTGTTTTTTCTGTTTTCCCCGCGAAATGAACAAAAGCTTTAATACCTAATTTATCCATAGCGAGAAACTTCGTATTCGTTCGCGAAGAGAGCAACATGGAAGATCTTGCGTTTATTTTCAATATATGTTGTACACGTTAGGAATTCTGAAGAGCTGACGAGACCGCTGTCGCAAAAATGCGTGAATTTGGAACAACGAGAGATTTCTCCTCCGTTTTCTCTCCGTTCTGTCGTTCTTCTTTGTGTATACGCGATGATATTTAGGTCGATATACATTTGTATCGTTATACAAGCTTCTACTACATATACACGATGTCATTGTTTATATTGAATAGTTTAATAAAGTATTTGTAATACAAAGCACTTTGCTCATACTAATTACGACCCGATAAATAGTGAGAGCCAAATATTAGATCAATTGAGAGAAATATTTCCATTTTCAGTCAAAGCGAATTTTAATATTTAAATATTTCAGTGTGAATCAATTTATGAGTATTAAATTCTACGCCAAAATAAATTATTTGTAATTTTTTAAATTCTTATTAACGTGAAAATTATTCTTATAGTGTTTATTAGCAAAATTATTAAATTACTTAATTTAATATGTGATATTACTTTTCTGGTTCTGTTCACTATTAGTTTCAAAAATGAAAAAGATTTTAGCGCGCAGTTTGCAGAATTAAGTATTATAAATGTATATTGAAATACAAAAATAGAATTATTTCTTTTAATTGATTTATTCTCTTAAGTTTAATACAATCTATAATCCACAAATTAGCTTGAAAATAATTAACGATTATGTAATAATGATGAATGCAGAAAATAGTAATAATTTATTAGCAATATATTAATTAATTTATGATTAATTGAATAATTAATTATGTTATGTTGGGCTAATATTTGAACAATATTATATGTGAATAATTATGTTATTATGGACAAAGCAATTGTAATTATTTATCACACTTATGCTAATTTTTCGTAATAAAACTTTAGTAAAAAAAAAATACGGGATTGATTAAAAAGACCAAGTGGGGATCAAATGTTTATTTCTTCAGGAAATTCTTTCGCAATATTCCTGTTAGGTCTCGAATGAATCGGCGAGCGAACAATGACAGAAATCGTTATTGTAATTGCCAAACTTCACTATATATTTAATGCGATCTTTATTCGTATTAAAGAAAGAAAAAACGACGATTTGATCGCAAACAGAAATGCAGAGAGCAATAATGTCGTCTCGTATTAATGCTTTGTCAAGTTGGCAATTATAATATCAATACAATGGTAATATTATCGCGATGATAGCTTATTGTTCAGATTTATCGGCGTGAAAAAAAACTCGATAAAGCTTCTCATCTTCGCATTTTATTCTTGAATATTTTATCCTCTCTTCTTCTCTCGACCTTTCGTCTCTGCGTCGAGATTTGTCGAGCCAAATTCGCCAGATCAAGTGCGGGAAAAAGTAACTACAAATCCAGACAACACGAAATCCAAAATCAGGACATAAGGCATCTGAAAGACGTTTTTTTTTGCAAAAATGTCTTTAAGGCCAATATTCATAATCAATTTTTATTTTAAGACCGTTTTAAGTAATACCTTAAGACTTTAACACACTAATGCGCTCCTCTGATTGGTTCGTGACATTTCAAGACTAAACTTAAAACAGTCTTCACTATAAAAACTGACTGTGAATATCAGCTCAAGACATCGTGTCTCGATTTTAAACTTTGTGTTGTCCAAGAATGTACGTAAAAAGAACCGTTTTCCGAAATCTTGGCGAAAAACAATTTTTACGAAAAAATATAGAAAAATTGCATAGATTGGGACAAGATTTCAGAAATTCTTAATTTTTTTAGATATTCGTATAGTGTTGTTGAGGGCGCAGAATTTCTTGATTTTTCAAACAACGCCACTATGAATATCTATGAAAAAGTAAGAATTTCTAAGATCTTGTCTCAATCTATGTAGTTTTTCGTTAAAATTTTTCCGCTAGGAGACATTTAACGATATGCGCGCTTGCGACATAAATGCAATGGACAGTTCCGATCTCGAGGATTCATTATACGGAACGATCGTAACCATAACCGTCAAGATTACCACGCAATTTAACAAACAAATCGACTGTAACTAATAGAAATTTGCTATTCTCCTTCTCGACAATTTGGTTCGTTAATTTACCGAGTGCGACTCTATGGCGAAATAATTAACCTCGATTAGACTTCTCTCGTTTTAAAGCGCATGTCGTCCTTATAATTACCGAAATATTGTCCAAGCTCGAATCAACGTAATTAACGGGATGAATAACAATACTCACATCTACGACATCGTGGCTCGAGGAAGTATTTCTTTGCACGTATTATTGAAGCACACGCGCGAAGATGGAAGAATAAATTCAAAGATTTATCACAAACAGACTGAACTTGCGTGAAATCCGTTCGAACTCGAAGTCATGTGATGTCACGCATCTCGAGACGTCAACGTCATGATGCTTCAGGGCAAAAGCGGAACATTCAAATTCCAAAACTAAAACAAACGTAATCCAATCTAATTCTAAGACCGGTACTTACAATCGATTCTTATATTTAAGACTGTCTTAAATACAATCTTAAAATATGATAAAAACAATCACAAAAAGCTATATTAGCATAACATTACTTAATATAATAATCTTATAACACATTACTTAATGGTCTTGAAATAAGAATCAATTATGAACACTGGCCTTGAAAACAGAATATTTCTGCTTGACTAAAAATTAAACTGCATGATTCATAATACAATGCACCATATTATAAGGAACGTTCTTTGAAAATTTTACTAAGCTTTTCCAGATTTTTACATATATCGAATTCGCAGCAAGAAAAATCTCACGCCCTTTTAATATGTCAAATATGATATATATTAAACATAATCGAACATATGTAAAATTTTCATAGCAGTAAAGACGCAATAATTAATAATTACAATACATTCTTTGTTTCATTTATAAATAATTGCGGCACCCATTCATTCATACTTTCTCAGAAAATCAACTTTTTTTTTCAAGTTTTGCCACACTGAATCTCAAATCTAAGTATCTAATTACTTCTCGAATTTCAGAAATAAGTATCGTTTAGCGGATCGCACGAGTCGCACTGTCAGTCGATCATCGCGCACGCATATGAAATTTTTTTTCGATAGTCGAACCTTCGAGTATCGTCGGGGGGATAATTAAACGTACCGATTTGGAACATCTCGCATTGCGCGCAAAGCGAACGAATAAAACTACGATCTGCAAACTGCCGGATGCAAAAGAAAAAGAAGGAACGTGATAGCGGTGCATGTGGGGGGGCACGACAGAAACGCTTAACGACAAAATTTATTATGCTCGCGAAATAGTTAACAGCGGGTGTTAACAAATATTAAAATGATAACGCAGGAGGCTTACATCATATAGCTTCTCCGTGGGCGACTGAACGATCCGGCTTCCGAAAAAGAAAGGAGAGACGGTCGCTGACGGATCGTTCGTAACGCCCACCGCCAAATCCTCATATATATCACACACGCATCGAGTTACAATTACAACGCAAGTCGAGTATCGATATAATATTAATAATAATAATAATATTAATAATAATAACGCTCGTAAAACTTAACAGAACAAGCGAATCGATAAACATTATCACCACGCAGAGCCTGGCTGTGTCAGAGAGCCTCGTATCCTCAGCACGACCAACGCTGCAGGCAGTGACGATGAGCTACCTAATCCGTATATCAATTATATTACGTATAATATAATTACACGTTCTAAGTATTATTTCGTATATGTATATATATACACACAACCACGTGTCACACAGGCCATGCCCTAAATCGACGTGAAGTCAAATAGTTCGCCAAAGCGCTTGAATATCAAAAATCGCGAATTCAACGCAAGATAAGATTCGCAAGATGCATATTTTAAATAAACGTCACATATATGTATATATATATATTTAAAATGGATCTGTGAATTTAACGATCTGTGTTGAGCTCTTTTTTTATACAACTTGATTTTGCAGATGGCCCATTTACTTAATGGCGTATTTGAATCTTCCGCAGATTTAAAGAGGCGCGATTAAATCTTTCAATTAGAATATCGCCGCGCGAAATATCGGTTATTTAATTGCGCAACGAGGATTTTCCACGAGAGATTACCAAACATCATTTATCTTGACAATAATTTGATAATTCAGCATCTCGAATAAAGTGTCGCACAAGCGTAGAGTAATTAATACTCGCATGTGGAATAAATATCTATTCGTGAAATGTACTTTCGAGATTCTATTCGGGGCGTAGAATGGGAAAAATATCGAGTCCATCTAAAATTTCTCTATGCTACGAGAATAATCAATAAGACCTTTTTCTTCTTTTTTTTTTCTTTCTTTATCGCGAAGCAGTGTTCATTTATACGACGTCGGCAACAGTCAAAGACTTTGCATATTTTTCTCCTCTATAATCTCGACCGTGTTACCCGCAAAATTGTTTCTAGATGATGCTGAAAGACAATCTTCAATCAAATTCCGTCGCGTCGACGCCAAAGGCACCAAGTAAAAGAAATACAGTACGTCTGTCTCGTGTTTTTCCTTTCAAATTACTCTTCACTCTATTCATTCGATATTTTGCATTTTCTTTAGCACTATTTGGCCGTATTGTGTCCGAGACGTAAATTACCGCGTCATCACGCTGAATTATCGAGATATATTATCAGACATTTATATTCTATCGTAAGTGACTCACTTTTCTTTACCTGTTCGGTATATTCGCATTTACCGAATGTTAAAGAAAAAAAATTTTTCCCGATATCTCGTAATATTTTAATGTTGCGCTTTGACAAATTCATAATAAAATTATATTTATTATTCTTATATATATATATATCGTATCTCGACTAAATATACGTAGTAAGAAAAGGACAAAAGGGATGATTCATGACGTAGAATATATATAATTTTTTTTTCTTATACAGTAAACAGAAACGACAATGGCACAAAATGTTACTAAACTCGTTACGTTAGCGTTTGATTTAGCGTTCATTCAATTATTGGCAACGTGATGAACAGTTTAAGTGTTAATGTTAGTCTCGAGCAGATCAATTTACTAATCACTGCTACTTTATTTATGCTTGCTTCTTAAACACGCGCTAATTTCTCAGCCACGCAATCTCATTCTCTCACATTAAAATCTCTTTCTCTCTCACGTATATTCTTTCGTGTATGTGTTATTTGTGTCTATGCATGGTTCGTCAAAAAAGACTCGACTATTCCGTTTGTGTCTTTTACGTCATTGTGCGTCCTTGGGAATCTGACTAGCACGTAGATTTCAGTTGAATAAATTATACACTTTTCACTTTTCCTTATCACGTGTCGTTGCTGTGAAGTGCATCACGACGTATCGCCGGACATGCAATTACGCTCGACGCTAAACGTAATTTGGTACTAAATGTAAATAAGCATACGTTATACATATTTAACATTTGCTGATTAATTTGCGTGATTAGTGTTTGGCTGCGCATTATGAGATATTTAAAATCATTCGTAGACAGTGATGTTGTATTGTGTTCTCTCAGTTTATCATCCGTCTCGTTGAATTATCAATTTCTTATGGCGATGGAAGGTTTGAAGTCCCAGGAGAGAAAAAATATTTTAATTTTACTATTTGTAAAAATGGAAATAAAAGCTCGGTCATGTATGTATCAACAAAAATATTAGACACTTCCTAAATACTATAGTTTCCTACCATAAAACACGACATAGTTCGCATATGTACAAGACCGTGGTAAGAAAATAAAAAAGATGATTAGCAAATTTAACAAATTAAGAAGCCGTTCGTTTCGTAAACAAATATATAATATTGCATAAACAATACAACAAACCTTTCCACAGAAAAAAATACCTTGCGTATTATAGAACGATATTTAAAGATGTATCAGTCGAAATTACTACGTGATGTTCACTTAAACAAGTATAATCAATCTTATAGCAATATAAATGTTTCATACTCTCATAAAAGACGAAAAAAACTGTGAACCGTATGTTACGAATTCCCTTTGCTTTACTCTCTTAAGAATTAACCAACTATATAAGCCCTTATTATTTTAACAATTAATTCGATAAACGTCGTAACATCAAAACAATTATCGTCGCGTTGATTCCTCATATATCTTCGTCGTTTCGAACAGCGATTCGTACTCCGTCGCGAAGTGACGCACACACACACATACGCACATCAGTCTCTACCGTATCAAAACTTTCGAGTCATACTGTTAAAACCGTCGTCATCAACCATCATGACGGATCGGACTTACTGAGGAAGCTAACAAGCACTCGCTCATGCCGCGCGCCAAAGCGAGCGAATCTCTTAAGTATTGCGACCCTGAGAGTCGTGGTATTGGATGTTGGTTAATTCTTGCTGTTACTACGCGGACTCGCAGGTTGACTGTTTGCCTGTTGCTGCGCACGTTGTATATAGATGTTCAGTAGCTTGAGTTTACTGGAGTACAGGCAACTTAGATGCGGCTTCAACGCTTCCTCGCCGACTGCGACATGGATTGCTACCATACAAAAGACTGCGCTTTTACGAACCGCGCTTTCATTATCATCGTAAGCCTGTAATACAAAGAAAAATACAATCAGTACATAATACAAAACAATATGTTAAAATACAGAATTGAATTTCATCAACTTTTCTCACCTTAATAAGACCAGGCATAACTTTGGCAAGATGAGGTTCAATAGCATCTCGACCCCAATGTTCCACTACCTTGTGCAACATCTTTATCGCGCCCATATTCAATGGATATGACTCTGTAGCAATTATAGTGGAGACTAAATGAATAATTTGTTCCGGTTTTAAAACCATGGCCATCGTCGCCGCGCATTTTTCCGCATTCCAATGAACCTATTAGTAATATAATGCCATAGATATGTAACACTACTAACTCGTTAATTAAAAAATTAAACAGAATTAATATTTACTGGAGATCTGCCACCACTACTGCTGGAAGAATCGACCTTTTGATCATCTGCCTTGTAGGCATAGATAACTTTCAATATTAGTAACTCATTGTAAGAGGAAAAGCTTTCTATTAATTCGGAACATTTAAGCATATCGATCAATGTTTGTAGCACTTCTACTTGTACCACTTTGCCATCATTGGATAAGCTGTCTAATAAAACTTTGAGCACTTTTCTGAAATATCAAAGAATCGTTAAATCACCAGGATTAAAATGTCGCGTTAAGGCTCGCTACCGCAATCGGCTTATTTATAAAAAAAAAAAGAAAAAACAGAAAAAAGTTAATATACTTCAATCGGTACACGATCGGCTCCAGTAGGAACGATCTTTAAGATATGCACAAGTTATAAATCGTGACATACTTGAAATTTCGTTTGATATATGACGAATCGCCTTCGCGGACGTACAGTTGAAATTCTTGCAACGCCGATACTTTTTCCGTAGTTTGCGCTACTTTAGATTGCAAAGTTTTAACCATGTTATCCACGATTTCCGGTCTATTTGTTGAATCTGGTGATGAACCTGTATACAAAATAATGTAAAAAAGATACTTTACAATTTTATTTACATACACAGATTCCCCCCCCCCCCCAAAAACC